AAGCAAAAAAACACTTGGACTGAACCCCTCAGCATAGTAAAATATGTGGTACCTAAAAGCGATTATTTGCCCTGTGCCACATGACGCGGGCGTGAACGGGCTACCTCTGTGGCTCTCTCACCTCCTTCCGTCTCTGCTGCAGCTCGTCGTTCTCGTACTGCTGGTGCAGCCGCTCTCTCTCGCGGGCCAGCCGCAGCTCCTCCGCCTGCTCCTCCGCCCTGCGCGCCTGCTCCTCCAGCTCCCGCTGCTGGCGCCGCTCGGCCACCTGGGCCTCGATAGCGCGCTGCCCCCGAGAAGACAGGCCCGCCCGCCGGGAGAGGGGGGGAATGGGAAGGCGAGAGCGGCGTTACCAAGCGTGCGGCGAGTGCAATAGTTTGTCCCTCACTGCCTGGGCGTGAACCCGGGTCTCCGGCGTCACGCAACGGAACTTGCCGGCTGAGCTAAAGGAGTTCTCCCTCAGCCCGGGCGGCTGAGATCCCCGTTATCCGTAGGGGCTTATTCGTTACATTCTCCCCCTGCTTAATTCACCGTCCTCGGCAAAGGGCCATCCCCGTACGGGCCACCATTGTAATGGTTCTTTGGGTTTCCGCCCTTGTCGCTCCTGCCCCACCAGTTCATCCCTCACTGCCTGGGCGCGAACCCGAGTCTCCGGCTTCGCGCCACAGGGAACTTGCCGGCTGAGCTAAAGGAGTTTTCCCTCAGCCCAGGCGGGTGAGATCCCCATTATACGTAAGGGCGTATTCGTTACACGAGAAAGGCAAGAGCGTCGGGGAAAGTGCGCAGTAATTTCGGGGTTGTTTTCGGGGCTACCTGATGCTCCAGCTGCTTCAGCTTCTTCCTCTCTCGCTCGTCGATCTGGGCGGGATCCAGCAGTGCAGTCATTGTGCGCAGGTAGCTGTACAGACAGACCTCTCCATTACACAGCAAAGTGCTAAAACCAGGACTCCCCTTTAAAAACCATGATTAGATCTACATGTGCAAAACTTCTGACATCTCCAGGACTTCCAATTCCTCAGCATCTTTTTTTTAATGAAGTACTGAGCAGATTTAAACTCCAGTAACAGCTCTTCTGCCTTGAAAGTCGTTGCATTTAACATGGAAATAATTCATTTGGAAAAATCAAGTCATTTTGCTTCTAAGTTAAAATCTAGAATGTATAGAAATGCTTCATTTGCAAATCATAAACTCTTTTCTATGTTCTCTATTCTATTATTTATGAATAGTTTGGAGTTTCATGGTCTTCTCCACTTTTTCTCAAATACAGTTCATAGGCAAACAAGTATAGTCGTTTAAAGTGACGGCTTAGGATGAAAAAGACTCCATGATGAGGGTCATTAGTAGACATTTATACTGCGAAACAGAGTAAAAAAATTAGCTGCTGAATAGGGCGACTCCATTTCTCACAAAAGCCAGTGATGTTTAGAATGGGCACTCTTGGAGAAAGTGGAATATTTCCCTCTTTCTTAAAGCTCCACGTATGTCACTGTCAAATCAGACCAGTACCGGCAGGACCAGGGTTATTAGGTGGTGTGCTGACCTGTTCTTTTGTGTGGTCCCCACTGTAGTGTCCACACTCGCCCTGCCCATACTGTCTTCCCCCAAGTGGATGGCGCTGTCACAGGCCACAGATGGGGCACCCAAAGGTGACAAGGGGTGGGTGCTGGAGCGGGGGCTCAGCTGCTCAGGGTTCACAGTCTCACAGGCCAGGGGAAGCTGGAGAGGGATCCTTTTCTGAAGAGAATCGAAGTGCATGGCCCAGCGGTCATGGTCTTCAGCCTGGAGATAGGAGGAGGGAGCCACACCATTAATCGAAGAAGTTGTGGGCCAATTCCGTTTTTAATGCATCCATGAAGACATAAAAAAAAAAAAAAAAAGAGGGCCACAATATGGTATTCTTATTATGAAACGTAAATGTAACCAGGAGCGCAATTAGCAATAGTAAGATTTTTGCAAAGATTAAATCCTCCACATTAAAAAAACAAACAAACATCATCTTGCATATTCTGTGTGAAATCAGAAGGGGCAGAACAGAGCTACTGCAATAGCTGGGTCTAGCTTGCACCTCCATTATCTTGTAGTTTATAGACACACAAACATACTGTAAGTACATGTTAGGGAAACTATCAATATGGTTTTGTGCTAGAGTGTAGATCTTGGAAACAAGGTGAGCTGCACTTTGCTGTGTTTCAGCTAGGGGGCAGCAAGAAGCTCGGAGTTACCTGGCTTTTGTCGCTCTTCTCCTGGATCTTGCGCAGTTTCGCCTCCTCCCTCTGTTTGTCCAGCTCCTGCAGCCACTGTCTCTGCTGCTCCCTCTTCTTGGCGCTGAAGGCGTGCTCCAGGGGGGCAGCCTCCTGCAGTGCAATATAGATGCTTTTGCCGACCACCAAGGGCATTAAGTACTGCCCTCTGTCAAAGCTTTTGGCGAAAACACAAGTTTTCAAAGGTGCGAAGCATGCATGAAGCTAGATCTTTAAGTGAACTGGGTGTCATTTAAAATGCATACATTGGCATGCCACAAAACATCGCAGAACATCTGCAAATCAAACAGTGATAAAGCATAGAGACGGATGGCAAATCAGGACAAGCTGCTAGACTGTAGTGCACAAAGGTGTTTCAGGATTGCAACCCCAATACTGTACTGGAGGGTGCTGTATTTACTTCATTTGTATTCTTGATCACATGATTAATAGGACTGAAAGATTCGGTGTAATATACATTTACTTTTTAGGTAATTGCATGCACATATTTAATCATATTAGAATATGAATGTTGTGTTCAAGCCACTGAATGCCAGTGAATAATACTGGGAAGCTTTGCTTCAGTCACTAGTTTCTTGCCTTTTCTTGAGGTGTTCCACTTCGGTGTTTTTCTTAAACATGTAAAATGGATGCTCCATTTAATTTAAATGTAGAAATTGACTTGTGGCTCATGGTCATGCATGGATGGCAAAGAGCCACCCAGTATGTAAGAGAGCATTTTCTTCAACATAAGGAGCCAAAACAATTCTTTAAACTTTTTAGAATTCATTGTGCTGCTGCCAGCATGAGTCACATCAAATGTACGGTGAGGGAGTCAGTTCCAACAGTGGACACGCAAATGTATGCGTTTTTCATGCTTGTAAGGGACAGTTAAGAATACACTATCCTGGTTTAATATGTCCGTCTAGATTGGTCGTGCTTATGTCACTTGCCCGGCATCCTTTGCCTTATGGGTGATGAGCCCACATGACAGCTTCACATCACCATTTCAGGCTGAGCCGGGCCACCACCCCCAGTCCTGACACCAGGGGTGGGTCCTGGTGTCCTTAATCAGGGCAGGGTTAGTTTGGATTTGTTTGCCCCCTCACCTCAAACCGTTGTGCCAAGGGTAATCCTAACAGGAGCACAAAAATCCCGACAACACAGCGCCAAGGCTACTTCACCAGGACAAGGTGGCGATCCAAGGATGGAACCCTGGTCTCCTGTGCGACACTTAAAATTACACAGGTAAGTAAACAGGGTGAGGAGCTGTGTGGGCCAGAAGGACCCTTGAGTCGAGCTGTTGCTCCTCTGGATTGAGTAAGCCAGTTGAGGTGGCTCGGGCATCTGGTGAGGATGCCACCCAGGTGCCTCTTGCTGGAGGTGTATCTGGCACAATCCATTGGGAAGAGAGCCCGGGACACGCTGGAGGGATTATGTTTCTCAGCTGCCCTAAGAACACCCCTGGGAGTACCTCAGGAAGAGGATCGGGAGAAAGTCAAGTCTGCTCTGCTCTGCTCAGCCTGTTACCACTGCAAGACACACCAGGACTATGCAGTCAGAAAATGACAAAGATGACGTTTCTTCTAGTCAAATCGTATTAGGGATTGTATAATATACACTGTATCCTTTCCACTGCACTCCTGTTGTGGGTATGCTTTTAGAATGCGTGTGAAATATAGCGGCATGGGAAAGGCAGTACCCCCAGGACGAAGGCGGATCGGATAGCTGCTGGCAGGTCCGGGTGGCTGAAACTGTAGCTCTGGGCTGTGGGCTCCGTGTGTGTGCTCTCCAGGCCTGTGCCAGTCTTCACTGTCCTCTCCTCTTCACTCTGCATCAGACACATATCTTTCCTGTAGAAAGGACTTCACAGGCACCGTTGGAGAGCTCTTTCTTGCATTAGGCAAGACAGAGCTATGCAAATAATTTTGTGAGCTAAATTAGCAAGACGAGCAAAGTAGACTAAATATTTGGGCATTTTTCAGATATGCCGATAGACAAATATATCTGGAAACATACAATAAAAAGCCATGTAATCTGGGAAGTTTTACTGCCGATTATTCAATTCTAACAATCCAGGCGTTCACTGAGAAAACATACCAACAAATACAATTTATCAGAAAAAAAATGTTCATGTTGTCGGTACCAAGGCAACCATAAACAGTAACGGCGACCCAAATTATGCACAACAGCTCTTTTTTCCTTAATAACCATATTCAGTCTCTGGGGGATGGCCCAAAGAGTTCAAATGACAACTCTGCAGTGGATTTAGGCACGGGCCATGCTAGCGGGCACGGTCAAATCTGCTTTCCTTGACAGGCAGCTGAGAACAGAAGCCAGCTAAAAAAAAATACAGTACATCTGTGGGCAGTCTTGTTTGATAAAGGAATGTCTTTTAAGATAGGTGGTTCAGCAATTATGTTAATATAACTTGCCACATATTTCACAATAGCCGTGACATTCCAAAATCCATTCACATTATGATTTAGTTTACCACAATTCCAGTCACCATTATAAAGCAGTTTAAATATCTGGCTCAATCAAATAGTCATTGAATACTTAGCAATAAGCCTGAAAGCTCTTCATTTCTGCCTGAGTTAATACTGTCTTTAATCTCAGGAGGCTGCTGGACTACATTACATAGCTATCTCTACGGGGTGTAAATCCTTTAATAAAAGGTTCATTGCAATCGGGAACAAGTTTATCATGCAAATGATCTACAAGTACATTAACCACAGGGTCATCTCCTGGTAATATGCAACTCGCAGTTCACGGCAACTGGGACTGTAGGAGATGGCATGGGAAAGCACTTCAAGGATTTGTTTTGATATTGTCATAGTGGGAAGACTGCAAATGTCAGAAGGAGAGAAATTCAACGTACCCTAGTTTGTGCACTCCCAGCATTGGGTTTGGCAGGAGCCCCAGCCCCAAGTTTGCCCCAAGGGTTATATTCTGTGAGTGGATCCGAGGGGTCTTTCTGTTGCTTCTTGAGGGCCATCTGTTCATCTAGAGAACACAAGCAGAGATCCAAGTCAGTAATAACCGGGAAGCAGCTCATGCACAAAGACCTCTACCATCTGGTCACAGATCCCAGATACTCCACCTTCCCCTCTCGCTCGCTCCAGTTGGAAAAACTAATCATCCCAGAATTAAAGAGCTGATTACGGTTAATGAAGGGTGTGAGGTGCAATACTGCACAGAAACCTCTCCATAGTCACCTAGCTCCTTCTTCCAGTGGGCTCTTTTTGCCTCCAGGGCATCTCTCCCCCTCTCTCTTTCCCCCAGGGTGCTGAAGAGACCAGAGGTGTGCAGAATTACCCTGGGCACAAGACACACAAGGCAAGGTACGAGCATTAGCCAAAAGTGAAATCTCAAGTTCTTTAGGACATCTGAGTGAAATTCAGATGGTTTCTTCATACTGTAGATGTTCTTGCTACCCTTTCCAAACCCATCTCAAGGTTGTAATTTAGGACCAAATAACCTCAACGTTTTTCCTCTTTAAAACACCTTCCCCTAGATCTACAATAACTTTCAATGGCAGTGCAATTGAACAAAAAAGCCAAATGGTTTTCCAATCCAGTTGGTCCAAACCTACCGGTCGTCTTTGCCAGGGTCAGGTACATTTTCTTCACCAGCGCTTTTTGTGGAGTGAGAACTGGGGCGTGGGCTGTCCTGTGGGAGACCTCCTGCAGTCTCATCTTTAGAGTCCCCACTGTTGGCCGTGACTTCTTTTGTTTCTCCTCCAGATCCTGTAAGCAGAAAGAGAAACTATGATTGCAGCTATTTTTCAGCCAGCAAAAGTCCCCAGATGCCTCACATTCAGCCATTCTGCCAGGGAACGGCTAGACGGTACAGGAACCAGTTCCTCATGCTACTGGCTCCGCAATGGCAGCTGGTAATTTTTTTTGCGATTGCCCATTGATTTTTGAGACAAGCCATTTTGCAAAACAGCTTTCAAATCCATGTTGAAAATGGATGCAGAATGACTGACAGCTAAAAAGTGGTATAAACTGTACAACTGGCCCAACGGGTGCTCCGAGGGGGAATGCTCACCTGGTGGAGGTTGGCTATGTGCACTCGGGTCTCGGGGGACGCTCCGTGATGCCTGGCTGATGGTGCTGAGGATCTGCTGGAGCTGCTCCTGGGTCAGGCAGACTAGACTTTCTCTCAGAGTCTCCGCCGACACCTTCCGGGGTCCCGAGATGGGCTGCCTGGGCCCCTCGGTCCTCTTGTTTGTCTGTGTCTTGACTGCGGCTGTGGTATGAATGCGCCCTGTTTTGGGGTTCTCTTTCACCGTGCCCACCCCTGCTTTCCCGGGCACCTTTAAGCCTTCCCGGCTTTCAAGCTCGACGACCTCTGCTTCAGAAGCTGTCGTCTTCGGCCCCGTGCGTTTCACTGGGGCTCTCTGGGCCTTCTCGGTTCCCAGCTCCTCGGCCACCTGCTTTGACTTCAATGGGACTTTTTGTGTCCTCGCCCGGTAATTAATCTTCCTCCCCCCCAAAAAGGAGAAATTATTTTTGGGGGGAATACGTTAGAGAGCACAGTCCTATTTGTAGTTTCTAACATTATCTTCTATTGGGGTAACATTAAAAATGTTACTGAAGGTGTAATCTTTTAAAATCTTAAGATCAAATTTCAGTTAAGGGTCAAAATCAAAGAAGCACACTTACCTTCTTTGAATTTTTATGTTCTAACCCTGCAACAAGGAGAATCCAGTCATAAAAATGTGGTAGTAAAACAGTACATGAAACAAACACAAATACTTTTAAATGTTTGACTTTTAAATGGCCTTTCTATGTGACAGGCCATGTCTACCCTTCTCCTCATTGATTTGCAGACAAACTGGCATTAATATATAAAAGACTCAAGCAGCTAAAAAAATACATACAAAGTGAATGTAGTCCAACTGTATGCTCAGACTACAATACAAAATTAGCATTTTATATCTGGATTTTGAAACCACTTGATAATATGAATATAAAATACAAGTTCTCAAATGCTGGCACAACAGACCAGGCCGAAAAGAGATGACGTTTTATTGCAGTACAGAAAATGCTCATGCATCGCTATACTTATGGATTTGTCTTCAGCTCAAATTTCACAGAATTTAACAGGATTGTTAACCATTTCCTTATTTTTCCCCATACAAAAACAAACTACACATAATACATTGCTGTTTAACAGTGTCACAGCAATGATGTAAATACTTTGGGATGATTAAGATTGTTAAAAATGCTGTTCAACAATCAGTGCCTTTAAAAAAGAACAACTGAAATCATTGTTCCAAAGACGCGATATCAAAAGGCCACACTTCAGTTTAAAAGAATACATGCGAGTTGAAGCCGAGAAACCTTTCACTTTCCAGAAGCTGATGAGGTCACAATCCTGAATAAATACTCAGTAATAATTGAGAATAGGATGCTTGGTTTTACTCATGCACACTTACCATAATTTGACAAAATGAGCTTGGGTTTCCCATCCTGAATTTCAAACTTCAGACCATCCCTGGGAAAGAAACAGTTACTCAGTTCTTTCACATTGTGTAAATATGTCTAGCAATACTGCGAGTGACTGGTTTTTGGTATTGTGCCTTCTACATACAGTGCATCCTTTTAAATGTGCTCTGGTCATTTTGTTTTACACAGTCAGCAAAAGATTTGAAAAGGTTTTCTTTTAATGCAGAAGACAAACTCAGGTTCCTTCTTTTCATGATGGGCAAACAGCATTCTTTGTATATGAATTAGCTGATTAATATACCCCCAGAGTTTGTTTTCAATATTAAATATCTTTTTTTTCGTGAAATTGCTCTTAATATCAACAGTTATAAAGGTAATATTGCACACCAGCTATTAGATATATTAAGAATGTGGAAAAGTTTCAAAATTGCAAGAATCTTCCAATTCAAAACGATCCATTTATTGGTCTGGGTCAAAATGTTACTAAAAGTTCGACTGGCAGTACAATATTTGTACAATTCTGCAACAGAACTGGAGTCAAATCTCCCAGAACCAAATATTGAATCACTTTCCTGTGGGAATTAATTGCTTGAAAATGCGTGGTGTTCCTCAATTTGCGACCTTCCCAATTATCATTACTAGAAGACCTATCGCTGAATCCGATTGGATTGAATCGAAGTTGCACTCTTTTGTATCGCTGTACTCACAGCGGTGAGTTATAAGATAACTTGCTTGTGCAACGCTTTCAACCGAATGCAAATACAATAATGGTGAACGACAGCTACCCGTAATTAAAACGCAGAGCATGACATCGCTTTGATTCTCAGTTAAAATAATTGCTCTCATGATGGCAGACTGTTACTAGGGCTCAGTTCGGAATGGACAGTTAAAGGGCTTATATTATAATAGTATACCAGAATAAATCAGTCATTACCATACATCGTATTTGTTCTTCGAGAATTACTGGTCCTATACACAATTACTGAGCGTGTGACACCGAAATATTCCATTTTTCCCCAATGCGTCACGTTTGAATGTTTGTACAGATACCTTAATCATAAATAAGAATTGTAGTCAATGTTTTAAAGGGTGAATTGTTCTTGACGCGTACAGGTTTCTCCCTTTAATAAGGTGTGGAGCCCGTACACATTCATACAGCTATAATGTAATCAAATTTCATTTTATTTACAAATCAGAATAAGCAAACGAATGCAAATGATTATAAAATGAGGCTAAATCGATGTTAATACAAATTCCTACGTCAGGACCCCAATACCGTGCCAGAACAGGAATTTCCAATCTAAAAATGAGAACGAATTTAACTCATCATCTGTTCTTTGGTCACCCGGACAACGGCCATGACTATGGTTAAATCTCCTTCTGCATAGGGGAAATCTGCCCCACATCCTGCGCTGCTAATCTGCTTTCACCTGCTGAAAACACCGAGGGTGCAAAGAAAGACAGCGTGTCACGAAACGGCAGCGACCAAAACACTCACTCACCCAAGATTCATGTCTTTCATCTGCGTGCATGAAAAACTGAAAGAGGAGCGAGTGCCGTGAAATGATTTTTCATGCTTTAATCAAACAACACAAAAGACCTCGCGTTCGCACGACATCACTTCCTGGAGTTTTCTTGTGTACGTCGGTTGCTGGCCACCGGTAATAAACTGTCTGCCTATAAGCGCGCCGCTCCGACCAGCTGAGGGCGAACAGCGAATCAGAAAGCTCCTTCTTTTCATACTGTAGTTCAATTTTGTGGAGACTGAAAGAACCGCACGTTACGTGGGTGGTTCAGTCTTACTATGACCGGGCTGCTATCCAGCAGTCATTTTTTTTTTATTTTGAAACACATTTGCTGTATGCAGATCCGAGCACATTTACCATTCCAACCATCTGTATTTGCCTTATTTTTTTTTAAATAAAAATGTTAAAAATGCAGTGTGATTCGTAACGTTAAATATATCCCGAGCATTGGACGAGAGCCGTTAAAGCCGAAAACCCGGAATTACCACAACTGCGTTTTTAAGACTACAGTGTAAGGATGTATTTAATAAGCGGCCTGGTGTCATATTTCAGATTTCCCTGCTTTATGTCCATGTGCGCTCTCTGCTGCTTCACTGAATCTTTGAATCAAACACCGTAACTGCGTTAAAGTTAGCAGGTTATTAGAATAAACAAAGGTCAAAATGAAGCTGATCAAATATCGTGAATGTCAAACGCTCACTTTTGCCATATCTTTATAATGTAACGACTAACAAGTGTTAAGATGTCAAGAGAGACTGGTAGTGCATTTTTATTTCATTAGACGACATGTAGTTTGCCTAGTATTTGGCCAAATCACGACGCAAACATATCCACGTTTTGATGAAGTTGGTATCCCAATCACAGATTAGTAATAACAAACGTTTGTGTGTGTGGGAGTCTTGTATTAAGATCATGAATTATTTCCTTATTGAGTAGCATGGATTATGAATGTGGGAATATTCTCCAGCAGGTGGCGACAGAATATTTATTATTCTACTAGGCGACTGGGCCCCTCATCTTAAATGCGTTAAAGACGATGCTTGAGATATGGGACAGGTGAGGAGTGGGAAGGAGATCCTTACTAAAAGTACTTTGCATCATAGGTATTAATCTCTTGGTAATTAAAAGGGTTCCGTATACGAAATCTACAGGAATGTTATGCCTATAGTACTGGAATCGTTGGCATTTAAGATATTTGTAAGTGCTACCACTTGCTGCCAACACGAACAGAATTAATAACTGAAGGAAGTTACAGTATATGACGCCTCTTGTTTAACCAGGTGGATGTGCAGCAGCCATTATGCACCAGTAGTGCTGCTACATAGCGGATTATGTGGAGAAGTGAGAAATTGCTTCATCAACTGAATTAAAGGGTAAATTTCCACAGGACAGTGTATGTCCAGAGTGGAATATACCCGGTTTAGTGGGTTAGCATCCCTGCTCTCAGAGTAAAGATAAGATAGATAAGATCACTTTATTAGCCATATACAATTTCTTGCATTAGGAATTTCTTTTCGTAGGTAAGGTAAATGTAGTCAGGAAGCTCGGTTTTTTTTCTCATCCAGTTACTACACAGTGTCCCATAGCAGAAACCTTTGTTTTCCGAGTCTCCCATACCAGTAATGACCGGGCCCAGCCCCGTTTAAATTTTGCTATCTAACCAGCCCAAGCTGTCATACAGGAATGGTGCGGCATAAGGCATTTGTCTCATTTTTTTTTTCTCGCTGTGACTGACATAACATCCCCGTTTCGACAGTTGTTTCCACATCCGAAATCAGGCGTGTCCGATAGGGAGATAACAACCAAGCTGGGTATCCAATTGGGGCGAGAGAGGTGTCGCCAGCGCTGTGTTTTTCTCTCTCCGATTGGAGGGCGCTGACACTGGGCCTGAGCAACGCCTTCTGTCTGCGTCCGCTTGACGTCGGAACCCCGTTCTCCCGGCTGCGCGCCGCCATTGTTGTTGCAGAAAAGGAAAATAGCTTTGATTATTTTTTTTTCCCTGGCCAGAAAGGAAGCACTTAGACCCTGGTGGGGAAGACACCGATCATCCTTTCTCCCTCTCTCTATCGCATAAACCCAGAAACAGCAGCGGTTTTTGTTTTGAGTGCATTCAAATAACGGGAGAAAAAAAAAGTTAAATTATTAATAACAGTCATAGACCAAAAAAAAAAAACCTGGTGGAAGCGAGGACCCTGGGCAGGGGCAGGGATGGGAAAGCTGAATTATTGAGAGAGTAGAAAGAGAGAGAGAAAGCGAAAACAAGAAATAGCCCCCCCTCCCCACTCCACCCGTGTCACAATCGCAACCGGGTTTTTTCCACGGGAAGGATTTTGAAGGGCGATGGGTGTCAAAAGGGTGACGTTTTATTAAAGTTGGACTGATAAAAAACGGGGCTGACAGTGGCATCCGTCACCCCTCAGACCCTCTAGGTCGGGGTAAGGGTATCCTCGCTGCAAAATGTTTGGAGCATGTAAATCACACCGGTATATATTATTGGTGTAGTTCTTGGGGGAACTATTTTTTTTTATCCATCGCATGGCCCATTTTTAACCCTGGAAAGGTTGCTTTTAAATTCGTGTACATTATTTTTTTCTACATTTTTTTTATTTTTCTTAGCTTCGCTTGACGTACACATTTCAGCTGTAAAGGTAAGAAGCCGTTTTTTTTAATGTTCCGATGCATAAATCCTACATTGTACTACATTGTAATCCGTCTTGGGTTTCGATAAAGGTTGCTCCGAGCACCCAGAGGGTCAGTTTTGCAGAAGGTCATCCGAGAGGAAGAAGCCACAATATCATACTGACTCTCTTGCTGGTGCATGCCTGTTTTGGTACGGCAGAGTCTGGGCTACCCTGACCCGCTGTGGACCCTATACCTGCGAGCTGTCAGAGCAGAGGGCTGATATCGCCGGTAAGGAAATATATATTTTTTTGTTTGTGTAGTAGCTGTACACATGTAACTGTAAGACATGAACATGACGTAAAATGGAGCAATTCGGTTCATTCACTGGTGCATTTTGGAGTGTGCTTTTCTGTTTTGCTCTGAAAATCGGTGCATTTGCATGAGGGGTTTCATAAGCAGCATGATCCACAAGAACGTAACTGACCGACCATCATTTTCGTGATGGTGGTGCGTGTCACGGAATCACAAGGGGTAAAATCCCCTTTTTGATCCTGTGATTGCAGTTTCTGTCTTGTTGCAGTTGCAGTACGTATTACACTAGTCAGTAAATGAATTGTCCGAGGAGCAGTTAACGCGAAAGGTTTACACCTAAACCGTATCACAGTGTTCTCCACACAGCATCAGTCATAACGCTAATTGAATACATTTATAAAAGTGGCTAAAGATTTTTCATCTTGCTGTTGATGCTTCGTTGTAGATTATTGTTAATATGAACATGTCCGTTTAGATACATGCTGCATTATTGCTCTTTCCTAATTAAAAATAATCCAGATAGGTCACAAAGGTATAACTTCTCCAATAGCACTTTAGTAGATTTTACTACAGTACGTTTGGGCTATTGTCTTCACTAACCTGTCATTGCAAAATTGGCTTTCCCTGGTGGCAACTTGTACTGCTACTGTTGTAATCACTAAACTCCAAGGTGTCTATTTATGAGTGAGTAGTGGACTAAAACGTGCAATATGCACTCATCCTTCAGCAATGGACATATTTAGATTTAGAAAAATGAGAATCACGTTTAGAACTCAAAAAATATTCTGACAATTAGATGGGGCAAAAAACATTTCAGACAGCTTATGGAGTGTACAATTTTAAACTCCATTACTTACTATGATCAATTCATTTTATTGTCAGCGCTCAAGGGTGGACTGTACATCTATGTTTTATGTAAGCCTCACATTTCACGCCAAATGTGACTTCTGGTCATTAATACATTTTTGATAGATGCATTTGTGGACTGTTGTGAAATATATGTGATTTGAAAGTCTTATTGATTCTGGTAAGCTGATGTTTGAGAAATAACTTAAAGAGACCTTTGGACTGCTCTGCCTTCTAGGTAAATTTCTTCTGTTTTTGGGTTTATTCTTGTAACTCTCTGCTTTTTTGGAAAGGTATGTAATAAAACAGTTAAGGGGGGTTGCCTTCACCCACTGGAATTGCTAGTCATAGATTCTGTGCAAATCCAGCAGAAAATTGATAAGATAAGATCACTTTATTTTGCCATATACAATTTCATGTATTAGGAATCTGTCTTTTCACATACCCTAACTTGCTCTGAGACACACAGACAGGTAGAGAAGCTTACCACAAAGCTATAGTCACACTAACCTTGCTGTAAAAGAAAATCCCTGACTCAGAGTTAAAAGCTGCACTATAAACTGATGATATTGAATCTTTTTTAGCCTTATAACCACTGTGTACTGTCTTCTGAGTGGTACGGTTTGTAGTTGGTCTTTTCCAAATAAAAAGATGCTTGGTGGTATATTTCTATCCCAGGTGCTGTCCTGCATCTCTGGTTGTTTTTTTTCAGGATCTCTCCTCATATGAGGGCGTTGAATTAAAACAGCATCTTTTCTTCACGCTGGTATGTTCAGTGCTGGAGTACAAGCGATGAAGGTATCAAACCTGACAATGCAAATCAGGTTTAGCAGCAGCAAAAGCTGGGGCTTGTTTGCTTTCAGTTTCTCTAATCCATAGAAATACTCTAAAACTGCATCCCATTTTTGTTTTCCCAAAGTAAATGAAAAGGTGTTTAACCTGAAACAATTCTGCATGTATTGTATGCAGGAAGCACATTTTCTCTGAGGCTTTAGAGACGGGCTTGATCGCTCCCTCTCCCATTCATCATTTTAAAGCAAGTGGTTAGCGGGTGGCTGTTCTTCATCCCTGGTGTGATCCTTTATGGCCATCTTCAGTGCAGATGAACTTTGTTTGAGCTATTTAGTAACTGTGTAGACTTTAGTAGAACTGTGCTTTGGGGAGCACTGTCTTTTTCTGGGGGATCAGGCTTGTCAGATCACACCTCTGTCCTTTGATCAGACCCCTGACAAAGCCTGAGGGAGGTGGCTGCACAGGTGACAACCCAGCAGCTCAGTGATAGTTTTAAATAAAGGAAACAAAGCGTTAAATAAGGCTAGGTTGTGCGATAACAGCAGCACTATGTGTTAAATGAACCTCCATACTTTTTTCATCCCTTATTCTGGGTAGCGCAGACATTTGACTTTATGAAGACTGATCATCTAATTTTACCCCCCACACACACACAACAAACCAAGCAGCAGATCGGTTCTACACTGAGAATAGTCATTTTCTGTGTAGACCCTTTGAAATTTAGCAGGGCAGCTGTAATTGTTATGGCTTCTACTGTGTTACTGGGTAGGTGCGAGTTCTTGACGAATGCAACT